ATGACACCCTCTCATTTTCACTGTCTTCGTTCAACTCTGTTTTTCTGTGTCTGTCCTTTCTTCTCTCTCTCACCCCACACCTACCCACACACACTCACCCACACACTCCTTCAGTCTATCAAGACTTCTGTTCCAAACATCAACTTCCTCTGCCCTAATTATCAGTGGATACAGATCCTACATGCCTGCGTTCCTAGTCAAAGTGGAACAACCACAGATGTAGTAGTAATTGTCACAAAAGTATCCCTGTTCAACCCTCAGGGTTGTTATTCAGAAAACAAGTCTTCATCCAGTTCTCAGAGTTCTACATACAGCCCTGCCACATCAAAACTTCAGGTGACTTTTCGCCCCCACCAGGACCCTCAGAATAATCTCACGGTTGAAGAGGGTTTCTGGTAGTTGTGCCCTAGGGGTTCTCATCCCAGTAATGACACAGTGCACTTTGTGTTGTCCAGTGGTAACCACTCAATGTGCAGTCCTGGTGGGGTGCCAGTTCACTCATTCACCGACCTGAAGTCATGTCACGAACATTACATGCATTTGGAAGCAATTACTTGAGGAAATCATGAACATTAAATAGAACCAACTGAAGAAATGTCTGGTCAGATGAAGAAGCTATGGTGGGCATATTCTTAGGAAAAGGAGGGGGGGGGGGGGTTAAGCAGAGAATCATCAAGCTGGCACTGAAATGGGAAACACATCAGTTGAGGAAACAAGGAGGTCCCAGAGAAACCCTAACACGAATGTTGATGAGACAAAACAAAGACGTTAGATTCCATCCGTGGTATCGAAAATATTGCAAACATAATTTTGTGACATCAAATCTAAGAAGATGACTACTGTCTAGGTTTGTTGTTATTTCTGGTTAGCTGTCAGATGGGCTGCCAAACAAATCCCACTGTTGTAGTGGGCTGCAAAACAAATCCCACTGTTGTAGTGGGCTGCAAAACAAATCCCACTGTTGTAGTGGGCTGCCAAACAAATCCCACTGTTGTAGTGGGCTGCAAAACAAATCCCACTGTTGTAGTGGGCTGCCAAACAAATCCCACTGTTGTAGTGGGCTGCAAAACAAATCCCACTGTTGTAGTGGGCCGTGAAACAAATCCCATTATTGTGGTGGGATGCTGGTATGAAAAGGTTGAGGAACACCGGACTAGACTAGGTGCTATGTGTGACATATAACGACATGACTGGATGATGTCTGCATTCTAACATCAGTGTCTGCCAGTTCCCTGACATGACTGGATGATGATGTCTGACATCAGTGTCTGCCAGTTCCCTGACATGACTGGATGATGATGTCTGACATCAGTGTCTGCCAGCTCCCTGACATGACTGGATGATGATGTCTGACATCAGTGTCTGCCAACTCCCTGACATGACTGGATGATGATGTCTGACATCAGTGCCTGCCAACTCCCTGACATGACTGGATGATGATGTCTGACATCAGTGTCCGCCAACTCCCTGACATGACTGGATGATGATGTCTGACATCAGTGTCTGCCAGCTCCCTGACATGACGGGATGAGGATGTCTGACATCAGTGTCTGCCAGCTCCCTGGCATGACTGGATGAGGATGTCTGACATCAGTGTCTGCCAGCTCCCTGAGATGACTGGATGAGGATGTCTAACATCAGTGTCTGCCAGCTCCCTGACATGATGGGATGATGATGTCTGACATCAGTGTCTGCCAGCTCTCTGACATGACTGGATGATGTGTCTGACATTAGTGTCTGCCAGCTCCCTGAGATGATGGGATGATGATGTCTGACATCAGTGTCTGCCAGCTCCCTGGCATGACTGGATGAGGATGTCTGACATCAGTGTCTGCCAGCTCCCTGAGATGACTGGATGAGGATGTCTGACATCAGTGTCTGCCAGCTCCCTGAGATGACTGGATGATGATATCTGACATCAGTGTCTGCCAGCTCTCTGACATGCTTTGTCTTCAGCCACAAACACGGTACCGCCAGCTCACACAGGACTGCTGATTACTAGGCAACCATTGTAACGCGCCCCACTATGACTGCTGTATAGGTACAAGGTTAAACGTGGTTTTCGCGAGCTTTCCTTTCCACGTTTTCACCGGGTCTCATACATCACCATAATCATCATCATGTAGTGTACCCATAAACGTAGGCAGTCATGTTTCGCCATTCCGTCCGATCACCACATTCACCGATCGGGTTTAGTGTTCTTCTCCCGCCCGATCACCACTTTCACCGATCGTATTTGTGTTCGTCTCCCGCCCGATCACCACTTTCACCGACCGTATTTATGTTTTTATCCCGCCCGATCACCACATTCACCGACCGTATTTATGTTTTTATCCCGCCCGATCACCACATTCACCGACCGTATTTATGTTTTTATCCCGCCCGATCACCACATTCACCGACCGTATTTATGTTTTTATCCCGCCCGATCACCACATTCACCGACCGTATTTATGTTTTTATCCCGCCCGATCACCACATTCACCGATCGGGTTTAGTGTTCGTCTCCCGCCCGATCACCACATTCACCGATCGGGTTTAGTGTTCGTCTCCCGCCCGATCACCACATTCACCGATCGGGTTTAGTGTTCGTCTCCCGCCCGATCACCACATTCACCGATCGGGTTTAGTGTTCGTCTCCCGCCCGATCACCACATTCACCGACCGTATTTATGTTTTTATCCCGCCCGATCACCACATTCACCGATCGGGTTTAGTGTTCGTCTCCCGCCCGATCACCACATTCACCGATCGGGTTTAGTGTTCGTCTCCCGCCCGATCACCACATTCACCGATCGTATTTGTGTTCTTCTCCTGCCCGATGACCACATTCACCGATCGTATTTATGTTTTTATCCCGCCCAATCCATATGGACAAGTTATCTAACTATATCTCTTTGAAGCAATGGTAAATTACTGGACGTAAATTTGCCTAATAAAACCACACAACAGCCATGGGTTGATGGGGTTGGTTCTGCAACGTCCTGTAAAGGATACGATTATATATATATATGGGGAGAGAGGGAGGAAATAGAGAGCGCAAGGGGAGGTCAAAGATATATATATATATGATGCTACTATAGGTGATGTAGGTAACATCCCACTGACCGCCTTTACTTCCCGTGACATTCCCTAGTACCGATGTTATGTATGGTCAGCTTGTAAACCCTGAGTCTCTTAAAAAAAATAGCTCCAATGTGGATTTAAACCCAAGATCTACAGGCTTGCAGGCTAGTGTGTAAGCACAGGTCTACATTAGCTCTTGGCTGGAGGTAAAACTATTAGAATTCTAATTTAGCGCACAGCAACCCTCATCGGAAATAGTGTAATTTATACAGGACTGGCTTTTATGCACATAATTTCGCTTCGGGGAATTCAGATATAGACGTAAATGCCTTTGTGGCCAGTCATTACAGGATTGACATTCGATCTTGACTCTAGAAATGAACTTAATATTTATGATTGTGGTGACTGTTCACTTTCGAACCATATGCAGAACTGCGTAGGTCCCTGTATGGGCCCGATCATGACGCGAGGCGTTGTGGGGAGCTACAATTTATGTTCCAGGTGTGCCTTGCTAATGTGACTATACATCGCTCCAAGTTCTTGATGATGTCCATGTATGTACTTTGGGCTTCCTACGTTTAGCTCATCGTTCTTTGAACAGAAGTAGGCAAACGATTTGAAAAAAGATTTGCTTGCTACATACATCCAGTTTTAACATATGGCTGTGAATCCTGCACAATGGGTA